ATTAATGCAATTCAGACAAAAACATCTGATATGTAAAAAAATTGCACCAAATAAAAAAATGACAATTTAGATGACAAATTTTTTTCCTGGATTTTTTAAATCTTTGGTAATGATAAGCTTGGTGCATCAAAGCAAACTGTAGAAAACAATAATAAAAATCTTGTGTGTACTGCTTTGAAGCACCAAGCTTATCTTTATCAAAGAAAAACACCCACGAAAAAAATTTGAATGTCATCTAAATTGTCATAATGTTTTACTTGGCACAATTTTTTTTTACATCTCAGATGTTTCTGTTTGGATATCAATTGTCTTTTTATTAATGTTTGTGTTATTACATCAAGATCAAAGCCAAGGATGTAAAGTTCAGTTGGTGCTCAGCGATGGCTGCAGACTGGATGTTTTCAATATACCTGTTAGTAAAATCATTATAAAAGGTTTTAATTTGCATAGATTTGAGCTTTTGTTATTCTTAATAAAAATCATTTGTTTCAATGTAATTTTATTCAGTGTAATGTAACAAGCATAAAATTAAGCAATAAAAGTAATAGCTCTGTGGGGAATTTCCATGAATTTGACTTGGAGCTTTTATAAGCATGTCACTAATAGAAGGGAAGCTTAAGTTTAAATTTGAGTTTTCTAGACTCAGAAATTTTTTTCTCAAGGAGCATCTACATTACTGGATGAAGAAGAAAAAATACAGCTCTAATATATAACCAGTCAAAACTTCTTAATTTTCTAGGAATTATCACATTCACAGATATAATTACTAATCAATAAACAACTTTATTTTACTCAGATGCATTTTGGAAATTACAATATTTCTCTCTTCAGTGGGTTTTCTTCCATACAAGCTAAACAAGGAACCAACACTTTTCAATACACTTCCAGTTTTTCAATATTTCAATCATTTTAACTATTATTAAAATATTGAAAAATTGGAAGTGTATGATCACTGTAGGTGTTTGAGGGTGGAGAAATCAATTCTTGAAAATCAACAACTCTGATTCTTGTATATATATAGTCAGTTAGTGACTTTTTACTTGGTGCAGAGTAATTGCAGCAATTACTCTGCACCAAGTAAAAATATAGAATACTTCTAAGAATTTGATTTTACTACAAAAAATAAACATAGGCTGTGTGACATTTATCTCTATACAAGATAAATGTCACACAGCCTATGTTTATTTTTTGAAAATAGAAAAAAATACTAAAATCTGCCAAAACAGAAAAATAATTTGCTAGCATGCAAATCTGGTTTATGAAGTCTGATCAAAAAGTATCAACCCTTATTATTTTTTCTTTGCGTGTATTTGAAAGCTGGGGAGAAGATTGTCATCATGTAACTTTCGACCCTAATTCATGTGTTTCAATTTTGGCAAGCTGTCCTACCCTGTAATTGCTATCAGGTAGTCTTGATAGTTGCATATTTACACTGTTATCATTGCATTAGTGATTAAATGAAAATGACAGGAATAATTGAACAAAGAATTTGCATTCAATTTCATTAGAAACTTGGTGACATGCAATCAGAGATAATTGAGAAAATAAAGAGAACTTTTGTAAGGATGCTATGAGTGCTATGCAGTTTAAAGAGTTGTATCGTCATTTCAAAGAAGGCTGAATATCAGTTCAAAGGAACGAATGTCCTGGTAGACCTCTAACCAGCAAAAATCCAGAAATAATTGAGAAAGTGCTGTGGTTGGGGATGTCCTGATTTGGCCAATATCGATACTTTCCTTCAAAACCGAGTACTTTTTGTACTCAATACTTTTGATCCAATACCAATACCAGTATTGCTTTTTCTTTGGATATTAGATCTGGTATCATTACATTTTTCACAAACAGGTAAGATCTGACCAAAATTGGATTTTTCAATGAAACCCAAAACCAGATTTGAGTTTTAAAGTTCGTTTTGGCCAAAATCAAGACAGAATCTTACACTGATTTTGGTTAAGTTAAACTAACCTGTAGTTATTATTAATAACCAAAAATCAATAAATTTATTACATCAAATTTTATTTTCAGAATGTATATACAATATACTTAGAGTTCAGATTACTGTTTATAAATAGCTCTCCAATTATTTGAAAACTTGAAAATATGCTAAAATCTCAAATCAACTGATACAGTATTAGTAATATTTAGTTTATATTAGAAATCAGTTTTAATATCATATTTTCACAGAATGACTGGCATGCTGCATAAAAATGGGGAGACTAGCATGCCTGAAATCCCGGGGTTACCCGAGTAAAATAAAATAACAACATTGTAATTTGACTAACTTGTAAACAAAAAACTCTTCCTGATTTTAAGACAATAAAACAATTAATGACTTATTGATGGTGATAGTAGTGGTAGTAGTAGGTCAATCAGTGTGGGCTACATTGACCATCTACCATGACCTTAAAAATAACACCTTCCTCTCAAATTTCACACAAAGCCATGTTAATAGGTGTAAGCTGAGATAATTTACAGTGAGTTTCTTATGTTTAATATGTTTGTTTTTGCATTTTTGAATCAAATAACAATAAGATAATAAAATACACACAAAGCACTTTTGGAATTTCAAGAGTATTTTATGTCATTAAAAAGAAGACAAAACAAAGAAATTAAACATATAATTGTAGTAGTTATTCTTTTAATCACCATAACAGTGTATTTCTATTAATAGGACTTATTATACTGGTGTATAAGATTACAGCAACTCAGTTTAAGGTTAGTGTTTAATGGAACAATTATTGGTTTGATTTTAATACAGGAATGTTTTAAAATGGATATTAATTGTTATTGGACTGAATTATTGGAGAAAAAGTAGATTTGAAAGAAAGAACATCAAAACAGTATGAATTTTTAATTTATTATCGTTGGCATAAAAATTTTTTAAAAAAATATTGTTGGTAAATTAGTTTGCTTATTGTATGAATTTTATTTATTTAGAATTTGTTTGTAAAATACCTGCTGAAGAGGGACATACAGGTCCAAAACGCAATTTGTATGTGTCCAGGTAATTGTAAATAAAACAATTTTAATCTGTGTGATTGAGTTGCTGTAATCTTATACACCAGTATAATAAGTCCTATTAATAGAAATACACTGTTATGGTGATTAAAAGAATAACTACTACAATTATATGTTTAATTTCTTTGTTTTGTCTTCTTTTTAATGACATAAAATACTCTTGAAATTCCAAAAGTGCTTTGTGTGTATTTTATTATCTTATTGTTATTTGATTCAAAAATGCAAAAACAAACATATTAAACATAAGAAACTCACTGTAAATTATCTCAGCTTACACCTATTAACATGGCTTTGTGTGAAATTTGAGAGGAAGGTGTTATTTTTAAGGTCATGGTAGATGGTCAATGTAGCCCACACTGATTGACCTACTACTACCACTACTATCACCATCAATAAGTCATTAATTGTTTTATTGTCTTAAAATCAGGAAGAGTTTTTTGTTTACAAGTTAGTCAAATTACAATGTTGTTATTTTATTTTACTCGGGTAACCCCGGGATTTCAGGCATGCTAGTCTCCCCATTTTTATGCAGCATGCCAGTCATTCTGTGAAAATATGATATTAAAACTGATTTCTAATATAAACTAAATATTACTAATACTGTATCAGTTGATTTGAGATTTTAGCATATTTTCAAGTTTTCAAATAATTGGAGAGCTATTTATAAACAGTAATCTGAACTCTAAGTATATTGTATATACATTCTGAAAATAAAATTTGATGTAATAAATTTATTGATTTTTGGTTATTAATAATAACTACAGGTTAGTTTAACTTAACCAAAATCAGTGTAAGATTCTGTCTTAATTTTGGCCAAAACGAACTTTAAAACTCAAATCTGGTTTTGGGTTTCATTGAAAAATCCAATTTTGGTCAGATCTTACCTGTTTGTGAAAAATGTAATGATACCAGATCTAATATCCAAAGAAAAAGCAATACTGGTATTGGTATTGGATCAAAAGTATTGAGTACAAAAAGTACTCGGTTTTGAAGGAAAGTATCGATATTGGCCAAATCAGGACATCCCCAACCACAGCACTTTCTCAATTATTTCTGGATTTTTGCTGGTTAGAGGTCTACCAGGACATTCGTTCCTTTGAACTGATATTCAGCCTTCTTTGAAATGACGATACAACTCTTTAAACTGCATAGCACTCATAGCATCCTTACAAAAGTTCTCTTTATTTTCTCAATTATCTCTGATTGCATGTCACCAAGTTTCTAATGAAATTGAATGCAAATTCTTTGTTCAATTATTCCGNTTATTTTCTTTCTAATTTGCTGGAGTAGGCCTGGCATGTGTATGTTTGTTTCAAATTCTTCTATAAAAATGTTTTTACATTTTTGAATAAAATCATAAAAACCTCATATTTTATAACCTCAATGTTTATTTCATTCCATAGTTCATGAAAACTGTAATGTGCAGTTTGGAAATGTTTCTAAATTGTTCTGCCAATTCTAGTGTCTACCAATTTCCCTTGCTAGCATCTGCTACAAAGTCACACGTGCAGATTAACTTAGGGGACAGACTGTTACAATCATATAAAACTACTGTTGCCTGTTGCACAGTACTGTTCAGTTGCCTCCTTATTCCCCAGACATGGCTCTGACTGAATTTTGGTTTTTCCCAAACTTGACAAGTGCCTGATGCAGATCCTCATAAATGACTGAAAAATGCTTCCAACAGTGGAAGCTTCACTGGGAGAAGTATGTGAACTCAGAAGGAACCTTTTTTTAAGGAGACTAGCATTTGAACCAAATAGATACATAGATGCATTTTTTCTTGACCTCAAGTCATATATTTTTTGATCAGATCTTGAACTGTACACAGGTTTTATTGTATTAAAAAACTAGAATCAGAATCAAAAATCAAATAAGTGCAGAACTGAATGTTATACATTGTAAATATAGTAAAAGTTTTTATTAATTGTTTTTATATATTATAAAATAGAATTTTTATATTTTTAAACTTTTTTTTATAGGATATATATAAAGAAATAGACAATTTTATTTGTCTATCTGTTACACCAGTAAAAAATTATGAATTTGAGAAACAAGAAAAAGTTAATATTGGATCGGTTACAAAATCTGCACCAAAGAAATTCAAAGTAGAAAAAACAGTTGAGAGTAGTAAAAATTTTGTAGATTCTGATGCAATCTCTAAATATGCACAAATTGAACAATCTCTTATTGATTATGAATTGGAAAGGAAAAACTATGTTAAGGTATGTAAAATTATTTTTTTTTTAATAATATGTTAAATATATGTTAAATGATCTTTAACAAATAACATATAACATTCTTCAAGATTAAACAGAAACAAACACCTGATTATTTTGAAATAGAAATTTCTGGCACTAAATGTTTGTGAAACTTGGTTCTGCGTGGTATCTTATGCAGGAGTCGCACTGCATAGTGTGAAAATCAGCAATAGTTCTATTAAAGTGGTGATAAAATTATAATACTTCCTTTCTGATACTGCTCAAAGATGTTCCAATGTTCAATCAAATTAATATAATGCAATGACTTTAAGGCACAAAGTAAAACTCAAAGCCTTTTTATGTGATGATGCGTATTTTTCCAATTTATTATCATGATGACTGCTACTCCCAAATTTCGTATNTGTTAAGGTATGTAAAATTATTTTTTTTTTAATAATATGTTAAATATATGTTAAATGATCTTTAACAAATGACATATAACATTAAACAGAAACAAACACCTGATTATTTTGAAATAGAAATTTCTGGCACTAAATGTTTGTGAAACTTGGTTCTGCGTGGTACCTTATGCAGGGGTCGCACTGCATAGTGTGAAAATCAGCAATAGTTCTATTAAAGTGGCGATAAAATTATAATACTTCCTTTCTGATACTGCTCAAAGATGTTCCAATGTTCAATCAAATTAATATAATGCAACGACTTTAAGGCACAAAGTAAAAGTCAAAGCCTTTTTATGTGATGATGCGTATTTTTCCAATTTATTGTCATGATGACTGCTACTCCCAAACTTCATATAGTTGTAGTCTGTGTAATGTGTACTTTATTAACATGCTGAGTCTTATTGTCAAATCTGCTAGTGTTCTTATGCCACAACTTTCAAAAGTTTCCTGTATTTAGATGTTTCTGCTGAGCTACTTTTTCAATCTGGTTTCACCCTTTTTTTTTATTTTATGGAATTTCAAGTATTTTTCAGTCATTAATAACTTCATAAGAGAATAGTTTTCATGATAACTGATGTGATATATTCATGTGGTAGCCTTCAGATTTTTCTCAGTGTCCCAGAAAATAAGTATGAAAAATCTGGGGCAGATTGACAAAGGGTTTAAAAGTTAATTAATCCATACAGTTCCACAAAGGAACAAATACATTTATGCTTGAGTGTGGAGTAATCGAATCAGTAATCAAATCAAATCAGCAGAAATAGTAATGCCTTTAGAGAAAGCTAAATAAAGGAAAGCATTATTTCTAGTTGGAAATGAAATTTGTTTAAAATTTTTAAACTATAGATATAGTAATAAATTTCATTAAAAAAAAAGGAATCTGATTGGTCTAGGTTACAATAGAAAAGATGACAGCTAGACCAAAGAACACTAGACACATTAAAACACAAATAAAAATTTTGTTTATAAAATTTATTGTAACAGAAAAAATATATAATTCTAAAAAAAACCTGAGGATTATCATTAAAGATGATTGAAAATGTTTGTTCTAGTAGTAAATTGTTTAAAAATTTGTTTTTCTGCTTGTTTGTACTAACCCCATCTAGCTTTTTGCTATTACTACAACTGCTATTATTATTAAACAAAATAAAATTTGAAATATAGTACTCTGGTCATTTTGCATAAATATAGTAACTTATTAATAACTAACTAGAATATTATTTATGATAAATTTTCAATTACACAAAATGTTTCAAAATCAAGCCACAGACTGAACAGTGACAATTGGCAAGATTTTCAGTTTTGATACCCGCTGTGGATACTGGCTGGTATTGATACTTTAATACTCGTGATACCAGTCTCGTGAGTAGTTTTCAAGATCAATATCAATACCAGTATCGATACATTAAAACTACTTGTGATATTGGTATCAATACTTTTGTGATATCAAGATATCCTTAGCTGTGGTTGGTGATGGAAGAGCAGTGTCGTTGCTAGAATTAAAATTGAATACTTCTAAGAATTTGATTTTACTACAAAAAATAAACATAGGCTGTGTGACATTTATCTCTATACAAGATAAATGTCACACAGCATTATACGTATGTTTTTAGACCAAGATAAGGAAAAAATGCTTAATAAAAGTAATTGTTTTTTCCTACTTATGAATTTAAATAATTAATTTAAAGTNTAAATAATCATGACTTAAAATTATTGCATTTTGAATTATCTGAGATATCTGTAAAGTATGTGAAATGCCATGTAACTGAGATACTTTATTAAGCAAATAGAATATGACTATGTATACAGAACACTATTTTCATTAAATAATAATATAAACTGCAGGTAAAAAGCACAGGTCAGGTGAGAACCTCACAGGTTGCCAGATATGTTTTATAAAAAGTAAAGTAGAATTCCTTAAAATGTAGCTCAGATTATTTTTAAAGTGGCCCAAAAAGTAATAAGATGCTTAAATGTAGTAGCCTAGAGCCCTACAAATATCTCAATCTGCTACTTGTAGCCCAATCTTGCAATCCTGAAAACCAGCCATATTTTATGAGATAAGAGAAAAAAGGGTGGACTATCCTTTCTCTTTTAAAGGTGACATCCAAAAATGAGTTACCTTAAAAGCAAAGCTATGTTAACCAGATTAGAGTTATTCTTAGTCTATTCTTACAGGATGGAGACACTTCTATCAAAACAAATCACTATGCATATCAGTTTGGACAGAATTTTCACTTCAAATTTCAATGTAGCTGTATTTCAAATTATCCAAGTTTGAATTAACGAGGATTTCCTTTAATTTGATTTATAAAGTGTACTATATTGCAATAAGATGTGTTATTACAGTTTTTGATTTATTTGTGAATGATGATTCTAATTATTTACATTAGAAACAAATAGCAGAAAGATTAGCAAGCTGGGAGAAATGCTCACTAGAGTACAGAAAAAAATTTGAAACCTGTTCTTCAGAAGTTTCAAAAGAACCAGAAAAGCATGAAAATGCAAATACAACTCAGTAAGTTGAAAAATTTTAATTTCTGTAACATATAGTAATGAAATTTAGATATATTAGAAATAAATCAAGTATTCAGTTAGTTATATATAACAAAATTAAATACATTAATATAAATACAAATATACCAAATTGTATAATAATTTGGATATAATTATATAATGAGTTTATTAATAATTAAAGGAATCAATGCTAGTTTTACCATTAGGCATCATAGGCAATTGCCTAGGACAACATAAAAAATATGGCATCTGCTTATTGCTACAAAATTAAAATAAACCAAGGGGTAACAAAATAATTTTTTTTCTTCCTAATGGCTGCTTACAATAAATCACTATCACTGTTGTTTATTTATCAAGATTACAAGATGATTTTCATTTATTTGATACCTATTCATATTAAATTAATACCTGCAGAGAATGTACCAAAATTTTGCCTACATGCAAACTGATTCTAAAACTGGCATTGAAAGGAATTAATTTTAAAAAATAATCATATTGGCATTTATTGACTAATTAATTGATTAAAAAAAGTAGAAAACAATTTATTGTAATGAGTGCCAATTTTAATATTTTGAAAAAAAACAAAAAATGTCATTTACAGATTCTTGATGTTGAACTGCTGATGTTTTAATAGGGCATTTGTATTAGACATGTAAGAAGAACAAAGCTATAAGAATCATATTTCAAAGAAATAAAAATAGACAAGATCCAAATAATGGAATAATGTTTTATTTACAGAGTATAGTTACAGCATTCTTTCATTAAGAGTAGTAAGGCATTTTTACAATTTCATGATTGTAAAAATGCAAGGATTATAGAGGCCTACCTGACACCATATGCCAGGTTTAATGTAGTAACAATATTATTTAATCAAAATCTCAGTATTGACTTATTTGACATTTACAACATTATTTGAGACTGGTTGGTTGGTTTGTTTGTTTCCTGGTACAGAAGCCATACAAACTACGCTGTACCATATTATTTGAGACAATGGCTCAGTTATTAACTCAATACAAAGTGAGATAGATATATTTTTAGTTTCATAATAATTCTAATATGAATTCTGATTGTTAATTGGGACAGTCAATCAGATGTCATAAAAATAGACCAAATATTCAAATTCAGCATTTTCAATTTTCAAATGTACAAGTACTGGTACATATTTTATGCTCGGTTATATGCTATTGAATAATTCTTTTATTTAAATTTTCAGTCTTGCTGACCAGATAGGATTCCTTGTATACGTGCAGACAAAAAGAATGAAGTTTAATTACCCAAAAGTAATCATTGACCACCTCATGGATGAGAGGATGGTCCCTAAAATGTTTTATTGCATTTGCTCGAATTATGTCAAAATGTATAAAGAACAAACAAACAACGATCATCATTGTATATTAGATTTAATATTTTAAAATGATGAATTTATATACAGAATTGAACTTGTTACAGATTGATAAATAATTTTATTTGTTTAAATTTATATATTACTATTTCAGAAATACTTCTGAATCACAAGAAGTAAACAATAATTCATTAAATACTCAATGGATTACGAAAGAGGTAAGAAATATATTTTAAAAATAAAATTAGTGAATAAAATAAAATATTTATTAATTTAGTAGAACAAGAGATTTGGTAATATTTTTAAAATAAAAATATCATTAAGTTTTATCAGTTAAATGTTTTCACTAAGTTCAGATCTCAATTTTTTACATTTATTCAACTTATCTATTGATTAGATAGTAAATTTCATGAAAAAAATGCCACATAGAAAAATTTCAAATACTGTAGTATAATTTACTTATTGTAATCACTTTGGGACTGCCCATACTGATGATAATAAGTGATTAATAACATTAAGCAAGATAAGTAAATAAGGCTATAATTATTGGAAATTTTGGCTTTATTAACTCTGATATCAAAAGGACATTTTTAATTAGAATTCTGTCAGATGGCAATTATGTTTAAAGTTAAATTTGAAGATAAAGTCTGTTTAGAAAGGTCGGCCATCAAAAGTTTGTATTCCAGAACATTAAAAGTGAATAAATGGTTTCTTTCTAAACAGACTTTATCTTCAAATTTAACTTTTATCAAAAGGACATGTTAAAACAAAATATCTATAACTTAAAGATTTATTAATTATAATTACTGTACTTGTTCTGTCAGAATTCCAGTAAGTTTAAACATTTTTCAAAGCACGTGTAATGGTTACAAGAAAAGACTGTCATTTACTACACATTATTTATGACAAAACTGCAAGTAAATATTATGAAATTCAGTATAAATTTTAAAAACTTGCTTTTTATTACTGGTACTTTTAATCCTGTGTACAAAATACAGTAGTAGTAGTAGAAATCATAAATTCATTAAATGACATACAGTAATCATGTTAGTGTCTCTGGTTATTTGGGTGCAGATGATGCTAAAATATTTATTGTAAATACAGTCTCCACTATTGCTGTGGCTATAAAATATAATATACGTAAGCTAGTACAAAATTTTTAAAAGCAGTTTGGAAGCAATTACTGATATTTAATAACGTCAAAATTCATTATGGTGTACTATTTACTGCACAACTCTTAAAATAAGTATAATTTTAATTTGAAATTGTAATGTTTAGAGAAATTACAATGAAATATATATAATTATAAATTACTATGTAAAGTAAATAAATGAAAATAATGCTTGCACAAATTATTTAATGTTCTCTACATATGACCATAGCTATCAAAATTCTTTTCAGAATTAAAAAGTAAAAATGTTTATATATAAAGCCAATGGCAACCAGCTTGAAGTTTTGTCTTTATCTTGTGTTTCTTAGTACTAAATGGTCAGTTTACTTAATCACACTATTTATTCTTATAAACAAATAGCTCATTAATAATTTCAACTGAAATTACCTTAAAATTTATTAAAATAAATATATGATTAGATGATCATTTTTCTTATATTTGTGACACAAATGTATCACCATTAGTTCCATTAATAATTTGTTAATTTGAGCTGATATGTCCAAGAGCTTTTACTAAATAATGTAAAATGTCCATCTCAAAAAAAATTTTTTTTGATGCAGTATTAGAAGTTCATATTTCACTTTCTCAAAAATGTTGTTTTAATTTTTTAAAAGGTGGAAAATTTTATGATTTCATCATTGCAAAATTAAATAAATATTGTAATTTTGCTTATGTTGTTTACAAGACTGTTTTTAATTAGATTGAATACAATTCTGGTGAAAGAAAAAGTTATATGCATTTGCTAATTAATAAATGATGATCAAATTATGTATAATTAACTGAATGTTTAATTATTATTTAATTCTTTTAAGGAAACTCAGCTATCAAAAGAAAAAGCAAAACAACCAGAAGAAGAATTATTAATTGAAAAAGAAAGGTAATTTCATTTTTTTATATTTAAAAATACCTAGATAATATTTTTAGGGAGATTAGAACAGATTTATTAATTGGATTTATTTACTAAAAACAAGGAACATATCTTTGTATTGTTTTATCATCATTTGGAATTAATCAAAACAAAATCTGTTCCTTTAAAGTAATCGTTAGGCACACATATTCAAAACTGATTTAAATATTAATCTATTTCATAAAATACAGGATACAAACTTTCAAAAAATAAGTAGCAAGTGGTCAAGGTAGTATAATAACTTATGTCATTACTGAGTTTTAAGTTAGAGAAATTTTTAAATACAAAACTGAAATGAAAATTTTTACATCAAATTGTTTGTTTTATTTATTTCATAATATTTCTAAAAACCTAGAGCAATTTGCATTATTGTTATATTGATATTTAGGAACTGCATAATTATAATTTACTCCTACATGATAATTTTTCAAATTCTAAATAATTATTTCAAATTGAACAAATTTAATCCAACTTCAACAACAGCTAGATAATGCCAACAATTTTTATGCTGAGTATATAATGATTAAAATGATTAACTAAAAGCACTAGTTAAGATTGATAAAACTGATAATGATTGTGTTATTAGCCAACTTTTGAAGTAGCAAGCAAAAAAAGAATGCATAAGAAGAGCCAATGATAGATCCAGAAATCTTTAGAAACAGTTGCAAGAAGGATGTAATATAATAATATACCTTTATAAAATTAAGGCTAAAAATAAAAATATGTGTTTGTAAATCAAATGTAAATTTTCACTCCAAAGTAACACTTTCATATTAATAACAATACTAGTTAGAAAATTCTTTGGAATTCTGTAATACTGCATCTGCAGGTGTATAGGAATGCTATTGGTAATTCAACTATCCAAACCACAGTTTAATTAATTAATTAATTGTGTTTATTTTGGTTGATTACATACTAGATGCATTTTCAACAGACTTAAATTTTTTCTGGCCCTTCATCAGTAACTAAAATTAAGGGCTAGGTATAAGTACAAAATTAATTAAACATAAAAATGATAATAAAACTGAACATAATAGTAATTTTTTTCTTTGTATTTAATCAACTGTCATCTTAAAACAAAAGCACACAAACATGATATGGAACATATTTTATTAATACATACAGCAAATGATATGGACAGTATATAGATTATGGATGTTTTCTGCTATTGTAATATAATTGGAATATAGATGGTATCCCAACAAGAAAAGAAACATTACTAATTGTTTATATGGAATAGTTTCAGCACTAAAGAAAGGAAAATCAGCAATAGATTCTGATCAGATAATAAAATTTGTCTCCAATAACTCATGGGTGGCATGTGCTACCCAATCCGGATATCATTTAAAGACAAAGAAAAAAAAACTTTGATGCTAATTAAGTTTTTAAAAATCAAAAATTAACTGCTAAAGAATGGCAATATATTTTCTTATACATTTAATTTTTCATATATGAGGGCCAAAGAAATAATATAATATTAAAATAATAAAGTAATAATCTCTAGAAGGGAATTTAACTGTGCCATGTGTTCCCCTAAATTTCAATTCCTTGAAGCTAACAATAACCAAATTCTGATTAATATAAGTGAAGTCTTTATAATTGGGCTGCAATTTGAAAAAATTGTAGACCTATAAATTCCCACTGTCATCCATCTGTCTGCTTTCCTTAATCTCGAGAATGAAGTTAGATAGATAAAAGATGAGACCAGATACGGAAAGCATAGAGGGCAGAAGGCCCTGATTAACTACTGTGTATAGGAACTTCCAGTTTGGACCATAAGTCATGTTATTTCAATTCAAAAACTTTCTCCTGAAAGGAATTAAATAGATGACCAGCACGACACTATTGCTAGCAGGAAAGTATGATGAACTGTACATTTGAAGTGGAGATATAGAGATATATTTTAAATTAAATAAATTAATATGATTAAAAATTGTAGTCTGGCATTGTGACAATGTCACAATAAATAATTGCTTGTTTATTATAACATTATTAAAATTAGTAAATCCCAAAAGACGCATTAACCAACTGATAACATTATTACTGATTACAATAAGTGGAGTCCACTGTATGTAGTTTATATATATTCAAAAAATTATTGTCAAATCCAAACAATCAGTCACAACAGTTACTGCCAAATATAATAATTAGCAATTAAATGTTATGTGTAATTGTGCATATGTATGATTAACATACATTATGTAACAATAACTCATAAATTTTTTCACACTAATCACAATACAATTCACTCCATTAGCATTCAAAAAGGGAAAACAGAATTAATTTTTTAAGGAGCTATTCAATTTGAGATGATCATTCTAATTTCAGTTTCATAAAGACATAATTAATAAATTAATAATAAATTAAATAAATAAATATTAATAGCAAAAGAAAAATTAGTCCTACACATTCTTTTTGTATGATTTTTCATGGCTTTGGACATGCGTGTTTCTGTGATTCTTTGTGTTGTTAAAGTATTATAATTAATTAAATATCATCAATGTTAATAACCCAATTAATATAGCAAGTGAGCATAAAAACAAGTTAGCTACTGATTGCAATACAGTGTGTTTGTACTTAAATGGTATTTTATAGGTTTAAAAGTGGCTTTAGGAATTGTAACTCATTATTACCATTATTTTTATATTGGACTTTTGATGATCTAGGAATGAAACTCATTTGTAACTGTGAACTACATGTGCAAGTTAAAGTTAATTTACATTCTGGATACATAATGCAAGGCATTTTGGTACTAGTCTTTTCATTTAAAAGATTATTTTTGCTATAACAATCTTTAGTATCCTGTGAAACAATGTGTATAATAGATTTGTACTTAATGATAAAATGAAACCTATTTTTACAGATTTTAACACAGGCACACACACATTTACAATATATTATAATAATGTTTTTCAAATCATTAAGTTCATTTTAATTCTGATATGAAAGATATTGAAGTGGAATGCAGATTGCCAGTAAAAACATTTTCTTTCAAATTTACAATTTTTATATCCTCATATAACATTCTCCAAAATAAATTGCATTACTTCAAATTTAAATATACACAAAGTTTGGTACAAACATTTTCAAAGCAATTTAAATTTGTCAAAATTAAATGTGATTGATAAACATTGCTTCACATAATCTAATAATCTAATTGAAAAATGTGGATAAAAATTGCAAGGTCTAAAAATTTTTAATGAAACATTTTTCTAAATTTTGGGTCAGTTAAGGGTTTTAATATGAATTTGCATCAATGATATACAACTTAAGCTTGTTTGGAATTGTATTAGGTTAAATTTATTTTAAACAGGGCAGTATTATAGCTAAAATATATTAATGTAGATCAGGGGTTCCCACATTTTTCATATATCAATCCCTTTTAAGAAAATTTTTTTCCATCTTACCCCTTCAATGTTATATACTACATATATTACACATTGTTATATTACATATCATTATATATGCCATAGCCTTTTATAATTTTAAAAAGTCATCATCTTACATTTATTTAAGAGCAAAAAATATATATAAAATCTATATAATGATATAAATGAGAATGTTTAATTGTTTGTTTGCTATGAATTTCTAGGCCTTTGACCAATTGCTCTGAAACTCGATAGTTACGTTAACACACTTCTACTTACATAATGTCGTACATACCAGCCCAAAATATTTCTTTAATTTCTAAATATCAATTAATTTCTGCTTATATCCGATTTCCTGCCTTCATATGTAGCGCCACCTATACGCATTTTTAGTATAAAATAAAAAATAGTAATAATTTAAAAAAATAAAAAACTAAATACAGTTCATTCAAAAAGGGATATAATGAAAAAAAAAAACCAATAGTTTTTGATATTTTTAAATAAATTCTTTATAGTTTTATCGACGCCGTTGGGTAATTCCGATATAGACATCAATTAAATATTTTATGCCAATCCAACAATATGAAATTATGTTAAACTCGAATACATTAATTTAAATATATTTACGAATATTTGGGTAGACCTATTATAAAAATATTTTTATCAAACTTAAGAGAACCAGCCATGCCATGTGCGCGTCTGCTTTGTCGCATTTCAGTGTCAAACTGGAGAATATTTTTAATTAAATTAATTAATTAATTAATGATGTGAAATATAAAACTAAAAAGAGAGCATACATGATAAAATATTTTAATTATATATATGTTTTACATAATAAGTTAGATAATACTAACGATATTTCGTTAAAAACTTCAAAATAGATTAGCGATTAAAGTTATTTCGCATTTTATTTTATGGATCTAAATTTAAATATTCAATAGATACTATTATTTATTCAATTTCTGTAGATATTTTTTGTCTTGTTTGTAAAATTTGTAATATATAATTTCATACAAAGTACAGTTTATATTAAAAAGATATATTTTTAAGGTTTTCTTTCAGGATCCTTTAGGGATTATTAAAAGAAATTTTAGAGAATTTTTTTAATTAGTACTTTAAATATGTGGCTATTAGATTTACCTCAAAACTTAGATGTAAGACAATAGTTTACATTTATTTTTTATTTTTCGGGATTTGATAGAAATTTTATTAAAAATGGAAATTCTTAAAGTCGAGTTGGCAACACTTAGGCCCTATTTCAAACAATAAGTT